TCCCCGGTCGAGTCATATCAAAGACAAAAATGGTACTAACAGTTGCCTCTCTTGCTGCTCAGCATTAAGAGGTTAGTGTTAGGACTGGTAGGCTAATGTGACTTAGTGGGACATCATGCTTCATGTCTGCGGCATGACGCTTCTGTGCTAGATATCAATATAAACTGCCACACTGCAGACATTGTAGCGATATGACTGAAAAATCGTTAAAGCTACGTTAAAAATCAAAATCACACACACACACACACACACACACACACACACACACACACCATGTATTAGTTGAGCTTCTTATATGTATTGCTGCCATTGTGAAGTGCTGTCCCTAAAAAGTGAACTATGGTCCCAGTGTTTTTTGGATTGCTCTCTCTCTCTCTCTCTCTCTCTCTCTCTCTCTCTCTCTCTCTCTCTCTCTCTCTCTCTCTCTCTCTCTCTCTCTCTCTCTCTCTCTCTCTCTCTCTCTCTCTCTCTCTCTCAGGCATATAGAGTATCTGCCTACCATTCACAGTATTTTAAGATTCTAGTTATCTCTATGGTCAGAGAATAGATCAGCTTATGGGATGGTATGTAAGTATGTCGTCCGTACGTACGTCAGATCAAGTTTGGTATAGTTACTCTTCGTAAACTACTTGGTGGATTGCCATAAAACTTGATATACGTAATTTTCATTTCATCGAGTTCATGAGCGCCCGCAGGCTTTTTTATTTTTGCAGGTTGGGGGAGAGGTCGGTCAGTCACGGCCGGGAGAGTTAGTATAGTAAGCAGTCTGAAACTAAAGTTAATATTTACTAAGCGTTTTGAGCAGAATCTTGTGACATATTTTTAGCTTCATGATATATATATATATATATATATATATATATATATATATATATATATATATATATATATATATATATATATATATATATATATATATATATATATATGCAGTATGATTACGGTAGGTGGGGGTTAGACCCCACTCCTTGAAAATTTTGTAAGTGCTATTCCTACCAAAAGAAGTGTCAACTGTGCATATAGTTTTTCTATAATAACACTCCTTATGATATCTAGTTCTCAGCCAAAACGGTGTCAATCTTATCTCCATTATTGTCACTATGTCCATTTTGAAAATGTCATTGTTATACGTCGTAGATAGAGTTATAGCGATATGGACTTAGTAGTTCCAAAGCAAGAAAATGGTAGCCATTAAGGAAATCTTGTTATTGCCACTCCTCCTGAATGGATCGTCATATTGACATGAGGTTTTACATAAAATGTAAAATGATATATAGTTGTCTTAAAGGAAAATGGTACCAATCGTACTGCAAGACAATATGGCTACCACAGAACCTAAGTTGAAAATCGTGTTTTCGATTTAAAAAAAAACAAACAAACAAACAAAACAAGACGTGTATTCAACACTCTGCAGTTAAATGAAATTTCTGAATGGGGGGGGGTGAGTATTAAAGCGAGATAGCGTCAATCCCTTCTAGTAACTCTTGTCTTGTTTTGCCTTGCAATGTTTTTTTTTTTTTAAATTCGGTCAAACTAGTCAGTTTACCTGTTTCGCCAGTTATGGCACTGGATTCAAGTGTTCAATTGACAGTTGGCTATTCTAAACGTGTAGCACATCTCTCTCTCTCTCTCTCTCTCTCTCTCTCTCTCTCTCTCTCTCTCTCTCTCTCTCTCTCTCTCTCTCTCACACACACACACACACACACACACACACATCGTGTGTTCCATGTGTATCCACTCCCAAACATACTGCGTAAATAACGAGGACAGCATGCGATTCTAAGTTTTCATTCCATTCGATAAATTTCGCTGTCTATGAATGTGAAAACCACCCCACCCCACAAACAAGAAATTAAAAGAACGAAGCCAACCAGACCAATCGTGCCCAAGACGTTTTATTTATTTATTTATTTATTTATTTATTTATTTATTTATTTATTTATTTATTTATGCGCATTACATTCCAATCTCCTAGAAGAATATATATTTATTGCTCTTTAGCGAATAAATTCACTTGAGATAGTGAAGTCTCAAAAGACTCCGTAACACAGTTGCCAATCATAATAACAGCAACCATAGTTTTCCTGCATTATATGAGTTCCTTTTTAGGGATTATTATAAAAAAAAATCATCTAGCCAAAACAAACTTATTTCATTGATGCATTAATTCAAGGAAAGTAAAAATTTTATAATAAACATGTCTTTTCTGTAACTCGTGTTACAGCAAGATTCATTATTTTAATGAAAGAATTAGTGTTAAAAAATAACCGTATATTTTTCAAAATTAAATTAAATAATCGTATGGCATGTTTTTTTTTTCTTTTCCACGACTGAAGTATCATTGTTGTTACTCTTCGCTTTAAGATTTTGTTTAACGATAGCTTAGTTTTTATGGGTCTTCGATATGACTTTGTTAAGTTAGTTCTTAATTTAGGCTGGGATTAATAATTAATGATTAAAAGAAAGCAAAATGCGATTTCACTGTCCAGCATTTTCCTTTTTACGAATGTTCAGAGGAATGAAAACGTTAATATAAAGAAAAGATACAGAGATGGACGAAACAGTTGGATGAGAATGAATGAATGAATGAATGAATGAATGAATGAATGAATGAATGAATGAATGAATGAATGAATGAATGAATGAATGATGAACGAACGAACGAATGAACGAACTAATGAAAAAATGAATGAATAAATTTTAAGTTTTTCACATGGCACAAATAAAAGAATTACCGAATATGAAATTATTACGAATCTCTAGTCTTAAACTAAGTAATAAAAAAAGCAAAGACCAACAAGTTTAGTAAAATTGAAAAAAAAAATTATTTCCCAAAGATACATAGTGAAAATTAAAAACAGACTCGCAGTAATTCGAATTCACTCCCAAATAATAAAAAGTTTATAATCAGTTCTAAGCAATATAGTTCTAATTAAATTCCAGTGGTACTCCAAATAAGATTTAGTGCTGAAGATGATGATGTGCCTCTGGTTTCGAATGTAATATGCCAATGGTCTGAATTGTGATGATTTGCCAACACTATTTTAATGAATCACACAAAAAATAATCCAAAAAATCCCTGTTAAAATTTTCTATAATTTCAAGTTAATGTCTTTGTCCGATAATTTTGCTGAGCACTTTATAATTTAAGAAAAATAATTTGAATAAATGATTTTAGTCTACATGAAATGATGAGCACAACAATGACTGATTCTGATTCGGATGTTATTACAAGAATAATTTGTCCAGTAAAGAAGATTGCAAAACCCTTTACTTTACCTTTACTTTTTAAAACCTTCCATTCTAAAAGATTCTGTTACTAAAATGGTAATAAAGAATGTGGTAAACTTCAGGTAGGCTAGGTATTTTGATTGAGAAATTCCAATAACCATGACCCGGACTCTAATAGATATGTTTACTTCTATTGATAACGATCCTATTATTTAACCCCCATTCTTATAAAATTATTGCCAATGCATTATTTGTTTACCAAAAAAAAGTGCCTCAAATCAAGAACGCAGTGACCTTGATATTGAGCAAGGTTAAGTTCAAAATGGAAATGTCAGTAGCGTGTATTGAATTTAAAAAAAACTAGCAAACCCATACATACATACATACATACATACATACATACATACATACATACATACATACATACATACATACATACATACATACATGCATGCATGCATGCATGCATGCATGCATGCATGCATGCATGCAGACAGACAGACAGACAGACAGACAGACAGACAGACAGACAGACAGACAGACATACATACATACATACATACATACATACATACATACATACATACATACATACATACATACATACATATATATATACATATACATATATATATATATATATATATATATATATATATATATATATATATATATAACATTATCCACGCACATTCAAATGAGAATAAATAAAATAGGTAATAAACAAAGACCTTTACATTGGAATATTTAATAGAACTGTTTATTCGATTAGTATCACATGTATATATTTAACTTTGATAAAGCAAGGAAATTATTTACGTTAAGAATAAATTAAAAAGCTATCGATTGTAATGTTTCTATTCAACCGAGCCAACACAACAATACAATTTTCTTTTTAACATGTCATCTTCTGGCGGGCATAACAAACATTCAATATTGCCGAAAAGCCACGAATCTCCCGATAACATGGTAGCTGCGACAATATGATACGCGCCATGTTGTTATCCATTACCTTTGATCATTGTTTTTGTTATTGTGTTTACTTGATACATTTTGGTCCACGCAGAGTAGAGCATCTTAACTGACCAATTTTATCTTTAGTAACGCTTCGGTGACCGACTTAATACATGTCCTGCATTGCAATGTTTCTACTTTTCCGTACATCGTTAGGTAGACGTGTATTTCATCTATATTTTTTTGGTGGTAATGCAAGATTTGTAAAACACACTTAACGATCTTATATTAAAATTAAAAAGCATGCAAATTTTGAAAATAGTTGCATACATTAGGCATGTAGAATAGAAGTCTAGAATGCAGTTCTGTTAGTAATCTGAAATATAATGCGCCATGATGCGACATCACGCATAGTAGTAATAGTAGGAATTGTCCGGCACGTAAACATGTGCTGGCTATATGGTGTCCATAAAAATGGTAAATATAATGAACTGAACAAATCTAGGATAAAGCCTTTTAAAGATACACAAATCCTAACAATCTGGTCTCACCCACAACAAGGTGACTGGTAATACGTTACCCTGACGCACACCGACGTCATTTAGGTAGCTTTCAGAAAGGCTGTTACGGACATTAACTCAGAAGCTTCTATCTTCCCTAAAACTGACCATAACGATATTAGCAGGTGGGATTAAGTTTAATGTGGTCCTTCATTATGCCGTACTTCCATGAGATGTCGTAAGCTCTCTTCTAACCAGACATGATATCTTCTAAATGTTCTTCTTCCGGAAACCTTCTTCTCTCCCCCCCCCAACAGCTCCGGTGGCCTAATGGTTAGAGCATCCGCCTCGGATGCGGAAGGTCATGGGTTTTATCCCCGGTTGAGTCATGCTATAGACTTACAAAAATGGTACTAACAGCTGCTCGCTTGGCGCTCAACATTAAGAGGTTAGTGTTAGAACTGGTCGGCCTGGTGTTAAGATTATGTGACATGGTGAGACATCATGTTATATGTCTGCATCATGATGCTCCAGTGCTAGACATCACTATGAACTGCCACGCTGCAGACATCGTAGCAATATGACTGAACAATTTTTAAAGCTACGTTGAAAATCATAATCACACACAAACGCACACACACACGCACACATAAACACACACACACACACACACACACACACACACACACACACACACTCCTTCCCCTCCAAAAACAAATACTTCATAACTAACTCGATGGTCAGATGTTCTTCTCAGACCTCTGAATCCACGATGAAGGTCTGTTAGTAATATGCAGTGAAGGACAACCAAATAGGCAGAATAGGAACCTTTTAAGGGATCCGCGACAATAGATGAAATAAATATTGAATTGATTTGATCTTGACGTATTAGGAGATACTTTGCGAAGGGGGGGGGCTGAGATTTCGCCTGCCTAAGGGCCTCCACATGGTTTAATCGGGCACTGGTAGAATGTTGGACTAGAGATACAAGTCGACCCTGTCGAGATTGAAGTAAAGAATTTTAATTATTAGGCGCGAGTTAAAAATTCGGAATACGGCATGGGTATCTATTTTGTTAGGGCAATGTTCAAGCAGGATAAGACCGATAGCTGAAGATGAATGTTCGGGTCAACCGCATATATGGTACATTGATTCCTAAAATCCAGGTTAAGTCCTTGAAAACATACGACAAACATATCCTGGACAAGGTCAGATCAATACGCCTGACGTTCTATGCTGAAAATAGACACTAAAGGTCAAACAATAAACATTGATTGCCAGCGAATACAAATCCAATCAACACCGTAATTTGTAGGGACTCGCCGTTATTTTGTAATCAGTAGTCCACTGATCTGATTTCAGGTACACAATTATCGCCTGTATATACGAATTGAGATTCACCACGCTAATACAGTTATTCATGGACCATCCCTTTTGAATGTGGTCATTCCTGGGTTATATATGAGCCAGAATTTCAAGAAATGCTTATGTATGTATGTATGTATGTATGTATGTATGTATGTATGTATGTATGTATGTATGTATGTATGTATGTATGTATGTATGTATGTATGTATGTATGTATGTATGTATGTATGTATGTATGTATGTATGTATGCATGCATGCATGCATGCATATATATATATATATATATATATATATATATATATATATATATATATATATATATATATATATATATATATATATATATATATATATATAGGGTGGTGTTTAGGGTAAAAATAAGTTTTACACCGAAAAATGAAGTTTAAACATATTTTAGCTTTTATAAAAGACTGATTGAAACTGCTACGGTAATGGTACTGTACATCGTCTGAATTGTCTACTGCAGATAACTATTTCTATGATACAAACGTGAACAGGTTCAAAAATAAAGTTCACTAAAAACAGTAAGGAAACAGTCCTTCATTTAGCTTTGATTTAGACGGTCTATTCTTCAGAATTAATAAAGAAAATGATAATAAAAAACAAAACAAGACAAAAGAGACATTTACAGCTGAGGTTTTATTTTGACTTAAAATGGACTAGATCAGGGTTTGGGCAAACATTATCTACTGAGGGCCACATTGGAAACTTTATTGTTATCGGGGAAGCCGCATATATATTTTGTCTACTTCAACTACAATTTACAACATATGAAAATGTGAATTAATGATATTAACCACGTATTTGGCATTTTATTTCACATTCAAACTGTATTACACATGCAAATGTTATTTTAAAACACGAACTTGAAACAGTTTCTAATTTGGTAATAAGATTTTACTGTTCATAATTATTTCAACAAAAGTTTATTGTTACATATCATAATAATTATGAAGAAGAAGGAACTTTATTTACATACAATCTTACCACAGAGTAAATGAAATGAGAAGTATGTAAATGTTAATAATTTTGGATAATGTTCTTGAACCGTGCAACCAGTTTACTGGCTGTGATTCGCATGGCAGCATTCAAACTTCAGTCAGTCACCATCGACATGTTCTTAGACTTGTTGATTTTCAGACAAGAAAAAGCTTACAAGCAGAAGAACTGATTTGAACTTCTCCTTCAGGTCATAATCTGCTTGTAGGTCAAGCAGCTCCAACTGTATATCCTCTGGGGCTGAATCAGCTTCTGCACTAAATGGCGAACTGAGGATACTGAAGAATGGTTCCAGGTGCTTGAAGTCTTGGAACCTTTTTTTAAATTCCACAACCAAGGCAACTATCTGAACTCTTGTTTGCCATTTCACCAAAAATGGTTTTCTATTTCAGCAAAGTGAAATGGCAAAACCTGCTTGTCTGGAGAACAGAGAGAGAGAGAGAGAGAGAGAGAGAGAGAGAGAGAGAGAGAGAGAGAGAGAGAGAGAGAGAGAGAGAGAGAGAGAGAGAGAGAGAGAGAGAGAGAGAGAGAGAGAGAGTTCTGCCTGAAATGATTTAACATGCACATACATTTCATGTGCAAACAAGAAATTGCCCTGAAGTTTGACATTAGTTTTTTTAACTGTGCACATAATCCAAATGCTTTGTTTCGTAGTGTCGCTCACACACTCACGGCACGGCAAGCAGACTGCTTTGCTCCCAACGTTCGTGAAGCAGTACTTAGCAGTCCATTCGTCATTAAAGAAAAAACGATATTCGTTCTCAATCTTTCTTTTTTGGCAGCACTCATGGTTAAATCAACGTCTATTCAAGCCACTTCCGGTTGAGCGGAAACGCAGTTTCAAATAAGAATGTTGACGATTAAAAACTAACCAATTCTGGAGCCATAAACACAAATTTAATATCACTAGATTCGAATCAAATACTCGGAATAAAATTTCAAAAATATAGTGAAAATTATAATCGAACAAAATTAACATCGACGTAGGATCGCAACATGTGCGTGCCTACGGGCCGCAGAATATACTCTGGCGGGCCGTATTTTGGCCACCCCTGGATTAGATAATCCGTATATGTAGCTAGGTTGCTTGGTACTAAACCTCATGTTTATGTAGTTACAGTTTCCTCTGATCCTTGCCACCCGATTTTTGACATTTGGCCATTTATGTTGGGGTGTACGAACAGAGCACATTCCCTATAGAAAAGTTGGAATAAGCCGATACCATTTAGTGTGGGCATAGGGTAGCCGCTTACTACCCGCCTTAGCAAAGTTTAAGGACATGTCATCAATATATACGTGCATGAAATCGATAGGAATATGATTTATTTTATCATTGCGAGCATAGCATTCTTAATAGCTTTAATCCGTTGAAAGACTAGCCGAAACTATAATGTTGATGAAAGCTGACCTGGAATTCGTCATTTGCATTTCGAGTCACATGACTAAACAAATCTCGCGCCCCACATGTCCGTGATCTCAGGGTTCAAATTGTCACGTGATATCAACAATAAACCATAGAATAATTTATATTCTCTGGAAAATACTTTAGTGTTGCCTCTATTTAAGGTGTTCGTTCAGAATACCTTTTGTTTTGTACCCTGGCCGCCTCTGATGCATCTCACACAAGCGAAGCATCATGCGAGGCCAGGGTACCAGGCTAATAAAATCTGATTCTCAAGCCCATGCTTTCATAAAACGTACACCGTCCTGTCCAGTGGAGCAGCAAGGATATACTATGCGGGCCTTATTCGCTCTCATAAAGTGTACGCTGTCCTGTCCAGTGGCTTAACTAGGTGTACTATGCGGGCCTTTATACAAAGGTCTCACTGGATAGTTAATCTGGTGAATTTGCATTCGACAATGACCTATTGCAGAAAAAAGAAAATAATTTTACACTGACGATACAAATTAAAGCAAACTAATGATTTTTGTAGAAATGCATGTGAGATTTTGACTGCGGCAAACAGGTTAATTCCTTATACAACTGGTGTCTTTTATACTGAACCAGCACTGCCACTAACCAATCTTTTTACTTTCATTTTTGACTGCAAAGAGCTGTTTTAAATATTTTCCTGTGACAAGCTAAAGATATCAATATGTGCCTTATGCATGAATAAAGTTCACTAGTACTATATCAAATTATTATTTTCATACCCTTGCAATACGGTAGCTACGCCCTGGTCCTTTCGATTATTGATAAATCAAACGTACACGATACATAAGCTGATTATTATTGAATTTTATCTAATTCGTTTGTTAATTGATAACTAATTCATGAACTTTCGATCGATACGCTGTACTCGCTTCGTTATCACCAGCGTGCACGTCAGGTGTAGTAACTATTATCGATGGGAAGTTCTAAACCACGTTTTGTGCCACTGTATAAACTCATTGTTTGACCCCTTTCGTACCCTAATGTATGTTTCTCATGGGTAATGTGCAAAACTATCTCAAGAATTACCATTTTTTACAATTTTAGTGTGTTGATATTTTTTTTTTTAAGTCGCTACTCCAAACGTCCAAAGAATTCATTCCGTAAGCTTCAAGTTTTAAGATATCTAATTGAAAGAATGGTACGCAGAAGATATGCTGAATTACGTTTTTTTAAAAAAAAAAATTTTGAACCTCTCAACGGAAACCCTTTACCTGGTGTTTAATTATAATACCATTCTCATATGTGCGATTAATCAGTTTACCCTAGCAGAAGAAGTACATATTATGAGATTAAAAAAGAAGTACAGACTATAAGATTCAAAACAAAGCAAAATTTCTTAACGATCTTGTCTTTTGTTGATTTCTCAACCTGTCATAATTGAAACGCAATGATCTTTCACTCATCCCCCCTCCCATACTTTGTCCTATGAATTCACTTGGCAAGTACTTGTAAATATACACTCTACTTGGAATGTTGAATTTTAGTCTTTTAATGTAAGAATAACCAAACATTGATTTTTTTGCCCAGTAATATGTGCTGAAGGAATTATCGATCGTTTCAGAAGA